CCGCTCTATGATTTAAAGAGGATGTACACTTAATAGTGTAAAAACACTAACCGAAGCTTGTTGTCCTCTAACCGTGCACAGAGAAGGAAAAGTTGCTCCGTTTGTTCACAGAATTAGGAAATATAGAAGTTTTTTCCCTTAAAAAAACGTTCTGAAATATTTATTATTTGTTAATTAACCCTATATGATCAATATTAATTATTTATTGAAAAGGAAATTGCTCTTTTTAATGCTTTCTTATTTATCATCTAGTATCTTGACTGTATCTGCGCGGAAATATTTATTCGCATGGTTTTTGGTCATCAAATGAAAGTTTTCATTTTCAAAATGTTCGTACATGAAAATAATAAGGAAATGAGTATTTTCAGCCATACTTGCTTTGGTTCATTGTGCACGGTCAGTATCACATGATGGTACGGTTCAACCTCAAATGACCTCAAACGCAAAACAATAGCTTTGTTCTATAAGGGGTTTACAAACTATTCCGCTTCATTAACTATGGTCTAACATGCTGCAACTCGTTTCTTATTTGTAGCAACTCGTCTAACATGCAGCAACTCGTCTAACATGCAGCAACTCGTCTAACATGCAGCAACTCGTTTCTTATTTGCAGCAACTTGTCTAACATGCAGCAACTCGTCTAACATGCAGCAACTCGTTTCTTATTTGCAGCAACTTGTCTAATATGCAGCAACTCGTCTAACATGCAGCAACTCGTCTAACATGCAGCAACTCGTCTAACATGCAGCAGCTCGTTTAACATGCAGCAACTCGTCTAACATGCAGCAACTCGTCTAACATGCAGCAACTCGTCTAACATGCAGCAACTCGTCTAACATGCAGCAACTCGTTTCTTATTTGCAGCAACTCGTCTAACATGCAGCAACTCGTCTAATTGCTGCATGTCCCTTTTGGGCCACCGTACGGCAGGCTATTGCCCAATTTCCCTTTCGCGACTGAGTGTCATCTCGAGTCAGTGGGTATACGACGAAAACAGTGACTTAAAATGACACTACTCTTTTCAATTTCAGCAAACCGCGAGATATTGAGTTTTGATAACCTAGCTTCAAGTAGAAATAGTGTTGGAGCAAGTGGAGACGAAAATCTTGACGACACTGACATCGTTACTGTCGAAGAGATAGCCCCACACACGACAAAGATGTCAAGCTGGAAGGCTGCGGCTAACTTCATCTGCGACATCGAGGGGATTGGTCTCTTAAGTTTACCATATGCTATCTTAAAAGGGGGCATTGCGTCGTTAATAGCACTGCTCGTCGTACCAATTATATGTCACTACACTGGAGTAGCTATGATTGAGTGTTTATACGAAGAAGACAACGAAAAGAGGAAAATTCGAGTTCGTTCGACCGTTGAAGACTTGGGCGAGGCGTCTTTTCCCAAATATGGTAAAAAACTCGTAATCATCTTACAAAGCATTGGACTCCTAATGGTGTCTACGTCATATTTGGTTCTAAGTGGAATAATGTAGCGGACATCTTCTTTCGTTCAGTGGGGACATCTAATTC